GAAATCCTGAGCTGCACTGATGAGATCTAACAAGATCGAAACGGTACTGTCTGCAGATTGGAATATATATATATATATATATATAGGGCCTATGCCTATTATATATATGCATATGTACGATTGTTTATATATACTGTACCCAATGAAATAAAACTGTGAATGTATTATAAATTATCAATTCAATCAAGTTATCAAGTAAACCACGCAGAGGCTCGAGTTAATCCGGCTAAATTTATTCAGTTATTACTCAGAGGTTTTCAAAATGTACTACAAATGCCTTAGCGTATTTTATCATAACACGACGTGGCTTTTGATTCATAACATCAGTTTAAATACACATGCCCTAGCCGGTGTAATTTATTTAAGTATCTGTACATGTTTGACTCAAAACTAGGTCACTTAAGTATATCCGACGATTGTGTAAACATTTAACCTTTGACCTAGATGATGATCATTGATATATAATTTGTGTTTATGATTTTACTTATATTAATAATGGTGATTAATTTTTATCAACTTATTTTGATCATCAATATCAATATATACAAATCAAAGTATTGGCGTCATTGTAGTATAGACCAGTAATACCACTGTTGATTTTAACCTGATCAATGTTGGCATTTCGACCATATTGTCCTAATAACCATTTCTATATTCACCATATCACTAATATCATTAAGTCACCATTATCGCCTTCATCATCACATTGTCATTGCATGCATCATCATAGGCATCATCATCATCATTATCAACATTGTCATCAGCACAGCCAGCCATCAAGCAAAATCATCATCATAATAGTCATGATCAATAGATAATAATAATATTCAACATCATTATCATTTATCATTATAATCATCATCATAACCACCATCATCAACAACATTATTTCTTCATCATTATTCGCACCATCATTCTCCTCGTCCTCCATATTATTGTTTTCATCATCACGTCTTCTTTATAAGCATCGTCCTCATCATCGTTTTATCGTTGATATAATCGTCAAAAAACAAAATCAATAATAATAATAATAAGTTTTATTAATAATAATAACAGAATAATAATAATAATAATAATAATAATAATAATAATGATAAATATAATAATACATCAGCATGCAATAATTCCCCTCATTATCATTATCTACATCATTTTTCATCTCATTTAATCGCCTACATTAATTCGTTGTTGTTTTGTACCATCTAATCCCCACCCAAAACGTCATTGTTATGTTGTTATTTTCACCCTTGTCTTTATCATCATCAGTTATTTCTCGTTCTCGTCTTTATCATCGTCGTCCTAATCCTCGTCGTTATTCTCATTCCCATTGCGGTCTTCATCAATGTATCATCGTCGACATCATCTTCATCATCGTCGTCGTTAAGCTCCTTCTCGCCATCGTCCCGATCAACGTCATTACAATCATTAAAAGCCGACAACCATGGGACGGGTATACCTAGTTATGTGTATTTACATGCAGTGGCGTATCTAGGGATATTGATATGGGGACTGATGGAAGGAGCGCGAGGTTGAAATTGAGAGGCCCAATGGTATTCAGGATAGGGGCACTAGCTGGAGAAAATGTGATTTTTAATTACCTGGAAATTTTCAATGGGGACGACCTGTGAGGGGCACAAGCTTTTATGGAAGGGCGTGCGTCCACGGCTTCCTGAGATACACAACTGTTTTCGTGGTGTAGGACTCAACGTAGCAGTATTCTTTGACAATCCTCACCAACACCTTAGTAATGCAGCCTCAATACACCAAATTAAAGATATACCGTCTTCGGCAAAAAAATTTAAATACCTTATTTATTCGAAAAAACGGGGGCGTTTATTGTTGAGAAGGGTTTTAGAGGGGGAGTTTATTCGAGGGAGGCTTTTATTTATTTATTTTTTTGTTGGTGTAATATGGATACGTATACTTAAATAAACGTCCCTTAATTTATGTGGAAATACAGCACAATTTTATCGTCAGATGTGTCATTGCGAGATCATAAAGACATATTGATCCCAACCAAAAAAATGTAATTCTACTAGAGTACAACATTAATAGACGGTGTTAAGAATGATGTTGCTTCCACTAGACTGGTTTACAGTCATTTAGAGGGTGTATATTAGGAAAATTTAACACATCGGGGCGTTTATTCTAGGGAGGCATTTATTCAAAATAAGGCTCTAGAGGGGTGGTTGTAAAGTATGATAAATTATTAACTTAATAATAATAATAATAGGCCTAATAATAATAACAATAATAACTAACAGCAACAATGGAACTTTTTATTGTTTTTATCTGTGTTCGACTTTTCTTAGTCTTTCAACGTTTTTAAATATCCATTTTTATTGTAATTCACCGTTGTATTTTATTTCAAATCTTTTGTACAATAGTTACTTAAGGCTTTATTACGAGAAAATTAATTTTATCTTTGGAGACAATAAAGTTTTCTGATTCTGAATCTGCATTAGGATAAGTTTGATCGTCGCTAAGGCATTTAATTTAATTCAATTATTTTCTCGCACATTTCTCTTCATAACTTCACTTCTACTTATCCGATTTTCGCCATTGTTCTTTTATCCTATTCCAAATTTAATAATAGTTTTAGTAATCTTAATTTTAATCCATAAGGTTGCCAAATCTCGTCGGACTTTTTAATTTTGTAATCGTGGTTTTTCAAATGTTCCCGTGTAAAGCTACATTTACGCTAGACACGATTACGACACGACAACGGCATATCATCGCCTAGTTTGTTTTTAACACTGCGCGCATCTGTATCGTGTCGTAATCTTGTCTAATGTAAATGTGGCTTAAAACTACGGTTTTTAGTACAAATGTGGCGAATCGCCCGAGGTTTTTATGTAGCAGCTCCGCTGATATTGGGCCGATTTTCGCCATTGTTGTGGCAACATGTAGCTTTATTTATTACCTACAACATATATAAAAATCAATATGATTGGTTAATAAACGACGTCGGATTTTTTATTTTTGTAAGAGTCAACCATATTCGACCGTTTTTTCGAGCAGAAGGGCCTAACTTTGGAGTTTAGAATGCCAGGCATATTTGCTTTATCTTGAAATATTATTTTGATTTTTAGTTTGTACATGTGTAGGTGAACGTATAGATATAATTTTTAATGTATTTACATAACAAATATGGTAGTTATGACAGTATATAAATGACGATATTCTACTAGGCCCACAGATTCTCCTCTGGCGGAGCTCCGGTTTCAGGTCTGATAATCAGACCATACCATTTTCAATGGGTCAAGTATTTGTGCACAGTTAAAAAAATGTATACCTACTGAAATAAAATAATAATATTAACTTTTTGTTTATTATAAAATACCATGAGCCGGCACCTACTACTTTTTCTACCTTCTACACAAAGATTGTACAATGGTTCATTTCGAATCCATTGAATTCATTTCGACGCGATAAGGGGATTATCAACCCGTACGCAAAGGCAATTTTGACCAACCGGGTGATCAAACTTATCCTAATTACCCTTAATTGGTTGTTAATTAATTTAAGGGTTTTGTAGTAGATCTGCAAATAAGTAGAAACATATCTGGTTTGATCTTTGTTCCATTAAAAATGTTTTGATCCATTTAAACGGTCTTTTTAAAGCGCTTTATAATTGTTCAAATTAGTATTATTATTTAATATTTATTCGGATTCTTTTTTCCCCAGATTTTTAAATGCCTCTTCTTATAAAAAAAAAAACATCTCTCATATCACGGAACATCCATATGTTATCGACAAATGTACGATACGTTTACAAACAAATATTGCCATCAATCGACAGTAAAACTATAACCAAGTAAGTATGTATATACACTTTACGTGTTTGTGTAATATCAATGAGCTAAGACAGCTCCATGGTACCTTATATGGTCAGTGTATTTAGGGTTTTATAAGTGTTGATCACTTAGTCTTTACATGGGAGAAATTCCCCTTTAACATCTTGTATCTCTTGAGTCCTCATGTATGAGGATATGTATTTCCAATGTCCTGGAAATAATAATTATTCACCTCATTCTGCCAGTTTCCTTAATGAAGATGCTGCCCTCTACAGGTAGATTTTCATGTCATTGTCAACCGCTTTCAGGCAGTGGAGTTAAAAAACAGTTTCTTGAGGTGAAAAAATGTCTTGTCATTTATACATTGCCTTAAACCCCTCGAAAACATTCACACAGGCAATATTTTACTGCACTGTTAAATTATAAGCTGTAGGGCTACGTACAATTGCCTAAAACAATTTTGAAAGCTGACATCATGGACCACATTCAACGCAGTGGACAAATTATATCATCGCAGTATTGTTTTACCACACAAAACGTCTGTAGGCTCTGTTTTACTCTAGTGCCTTAATCTGAACTCTGTCGAACATTAGAGTTTTCTGTGTCAAAATCTACAGATACTGGTGATATGGCTGGTGAAGCTTTAGCGCTCGGCACATGCTTAATAAAGGGTTTATTCTCCTGGTGCTCAAATCTGCCTTGGTTTGATTTCCGGCTGTCGCTTCCCCATTTGTCCGACCTTACTGCCATGGAATCCGTAGTTTGTGTCTGTAGCGTTGGTATTCGTTTTAGGCTCCAGTATTCATCCTTTACAGGCCTTCGAATAAAACACGGGCAAATCCAATTGAAGAACGCTTTGAACCCGTTTCGAAATTTTGCGTTCATCCAGCAGTAAATTATAGGGTTGTATATACAGTTACTGAGTGCGATGCACAGGCATGTAGTATGAACTAATCGGGCGTATTTGTAACATCCTACTTTATTGGTTTTGTCAAAGTCTTGTACCAAAGTCATTACGTGTTGGGGGAGGTAGCAGAGGGCGAACACCAACACGATAAACGCAAACATCTTGACAAGCTGCAAAGAGAATCAACATTACATTATAATAATAATTATATATATATATATATATATATTACTCCTCGGAGCCAACGGCCAACCATGCTTAGGCCTAAGTTTAAGGAGTAGTTTTTATTGGGTAACATCTTTTTTCAAAATTTCCACTTTCAAAATAAAATACTTAAAACTTAATAATACTTTCAAACTTAAACAGCTAAATCAAATCACCAAGCGCATAGAGGGTTTTTGCATGATATGCTATACAAATCCAACTATTATTATTATTATTATTATATATATACATATATAAATCAAGATAGCCGTTAACACTGTTAAATTATATATAAATCATCAAAGAAGGGTAAATACAGTGTTCAAATAAAGGACATAATAATACATCGTGTAGCATAGCTCTCAACGAATGTAGTCCTGTAAATAAATGAATAAAGAAATTGTGTAATAAAATTCCTCTGGCGGGACTCGAACCTGCGACCTCTCGCGTCAAGGCAAGCGTCATAACCATTAGACCACGGAGGCTTCATGGTTGAACAGACTCAAATACCACCAGATACACTCCATTACACAATAGGTACGGCTAGAAACAAACGGTTATATAAATCAAGATAGCCGTTAATACTGTTAAATTATATATAAATCATCAAAGAAAGGTAAATACAGTGTTCGAATAATGCAGGTTCGAGTCCCGCCAGAGGCATTTTATTACACAATTTCTTTATTTATTTACAGGACTACATTCGTTGAGAGCTATGCTACACGATGTATTATTATGTCTTTTATTCGAACACTGTATTTACCTTTCGTTGAGAGCTATGCTGCACGATGTATTATTATGTCCTTTATTCGAACACTGTATTTACCTGTCTCTTATACACATCTAGATGTGTATAAGAGACAGTCCTCATGTTCACCATCCTCAGTCACATTTTTTTAAATATAGGCCTATGACTGTTTTCTGAGAAATTGAGTGACAACCTATTCATCGTTTGTATTGAATAGCGGTAATATAAAAAAATTATGTCGATCAATCAACTATGATATAGCCTATAATGCTGTAATTTAAGTATTAATATATTAATATATAACTACCACAGGAGAAGGATTAAATCACTTCCTGCAACCCTAGTAATAACAATTGAATCCGTCATAAACTGCCTCATTAACCTTAAGTTTCTACTTGTGTTAATTTCATGAACAGTCCGTGTGCGTTAATGTGCTCATGTCATTCTTAATATGAAAAGCTGTTCTTAAGTTCGAGGTTATTGTAAGCGTAATGCGACGATTCATCGCGATGTACATTACATTTGAATTCTTACATCAATTGCTAATGGATTTTCTACGTTAACCATCAATACATTCTACTTTGTTCTGACTGTCATGTTATAGGCCTATTATATGCTGGAATTTAAACGTAAATTAGATATTCGTTTCAAATTTAGGGCGCCCGCATCGAGTCAATAATTATCGTAAAGTTATATAGGCCTACGCATAGTACACGTTAAATAATTCCCAGCAAATTCATAACGCAACAAACCTTATTTTTCGTCTCTCGTATTTTCTGATCCCTCGTGTGCTCAACCTCACCAGGTGTTTTATGAGCCCATACATTCCATCCAATTGTACCATATGCCCCGGCAAGAATAATAAGCGGTATACAATACTGCAAAAGAAGCATGCTAATACTATACGCAAACCTCTTCTGGTCGTCTATAATTTTGTCTTCAAAATCCCACACTTCTCCACAGTAGGTGAAATTAGAGTAAAGCAACGTGTAATTGTGCAATAATAGAGGAACTGCTAGGCTTAGTGAAACGCACCAAATAAGAATGATTATGATGATCACGTGGATTGACTCCATTTTCTTTCGGAACGGATAAATGATCGCAAAGAAGCGATCGAGGCTGATGGCGACAAGCGTAAAAATACTAACGGAGACGGAAACGCTTTGAACGAAACGAACTAGTTTACATGATACGTCGTCACTAAACGGCCACTGAAATACTGCCTCATAGTACGAGATTTCAACGCAGAAAACCGCCACCAGCAAATCACTCAAGGCGACGTTCACTATAAAGTAGTTTGTGACAGTGCGCATGCACTTGTTCCCAAGAATTATGTAGCAGACGATTGCATTGCCGCCAATTCCAAGGAGCGTAATTACAGCAAATAGTATACCGAGGACAATGGTTGCCCACAGCGGTATTCCTACAGGTGAACAATCTTCCGACATTTTCTGTTATGACTTGAACTTAGTGAATCATATGGAAAGCGAATCTGAAATGAAACAATGTATAAAGTATTTAATTAAGGCTTTAAAACGATTTAACAGCACTTAAAACCTAAACTAGGCACACATTACCCAGACGGTCGTCGATCGACAAAATTCAACATACGCAACATGACGATGTATACGCGGCTTATTTTGAATGACGATCCGTTCAGCCTCCAACAGGCAAACAGACGCTCAGAGAAAATTGATATTTGTTCCAACGCGATATTTGCTCGTCTTTACATTAAGATTTCTACAAAAATAAGCCCGACGTCTTGATGGACAGCTGATATACGGTACACCGGCAACCCCCCCCCCCACAGCGGTATTCCTACAGGTGAACAATCTTCCGACATTTTCTGTTATGACTTGAACTTAGTGAATCATATGGAAAGCGAATCTGAAATGAAACAATGTATAAAGTATTTAATTAAGGCTTTAAAACGATTTAACAGCACTTAAAACCTAAACTAGGCACACATTACCCAGACGGTCGTCGATCGACAAAATTCAACATACGCAACATGACGATGTATACGCGGCTTATTTTGAATGACGATCCGTTCAGCCTCCCACAGGCAAACAGACGCTCAGAGAAAATTGATATTTGTTCCAACGCGATATTTGCTCGTCTTTACATTAAGATTTCTACAAAAATATGCCCGACGTCTTGATGGACAGCTGATATACACTGGCAACCCCCCCCCCCCACACACGCACACATATAAACTCAAACCTTATACACACCTGCATTGCACTGTCCACCCATCAAAATGTATGTGGAAACGTGTGTGATGTGCCTTTTGGGCATGATAATGTCATATTACTCCTAAATATGGGCATATCACATACAATGGACCTTTCCGCTAAGCTCCGCCCCTTGGATATTGTTGCTAAGGTCCCACAAGTCAGCAGTGTTAAAACATACGCGAACACGAGCGTTTGTGGGACAACACGTGTGTTTGTAAGACGCGCGCGTATTCCTAGCGCTGTTCTGATTAGTCAGTTGTCAAGTTTGATTGACACTCCGGAAAGGTATATTTGATAGTGTGTACAGAACTTTAGTCTGCACATATATTTTCCATTGGTGTGATTTCGATGGCGTTTGCATCATGAAATTTAATAGGAATGATGCTTTGCAAGTGTCATTCTCAGAATTTCCTTTTGATATTACTATTATTACGTTACGAATTGATAAGAACAAAGAATGGAAGCTAGGCAGTAATACAATAAGAGAGGTAAACAGTTATAAATATTTGGAGGGGGGGGTCATTATTTCATCAAATTTAAGGGAGCATACTCATTATGAACATGTTATTCAAAAGGGCAATCGCCTTATCGCCTATATTAAGGGTATTAAAGCAAATCTAGATGATTTTAATCGTGTTTACTATGGAAACATATTATGGAAGACCATCGCGCTTCCTTCCTTCAATACATTACGCCTGTAGTATTTGGTATAAGAAATCTAACAAAGACAATGCCAATCTAGAAAAAGTACAAATTCAAATGGCTCGTTTCCTACTGAAAGCCCCACGTTATACACCCACAGAGGCATTATATGGTGACTTAGGATGTGCTCCTTGTCACAACTACATGAAGTGGCCAGAGCTAAGCTATTTGACCGTTTTATTAACATGGATGCTTATAGGTGGCCTAATATTGTTCTTAAGTCTATGCTTCAACTTAAAAGTGATTTTAATAATTTGAAATACAAATTCCTTACTTCTTGTGTTGATATTTTTGAAAAATGTCCTGATATAGATTTTTATAACCATTTCTTTGATTTTGATAACATTTAATTCTTTTTCTGTAAGTATTCTTAAAAATTATGTATCAGAATGGTATAAGTCAGAGTTGTCTAACAAATTAACTCAAACAACCTCATTACATAATTATTCAAAACTTCAACCTTCTCGCAAATTACTAACATACTCAGACTGGACAAAACTAATTTTCATGGGGCAAGCTTAAAATTCAAGTTAAGATCTAACACGCTACCCCTTGATTGTAAAACTTATAAATGGTCCAATGACGTCTCAGGTGTTTGTACCCTTTGTGACAGTGGAGAAATAGAAGATGTAAAGCATTTCTTATTAAAATGTACGGCATTTGACGACATTAGAAAAAATAAAATATTAACTAATTTAAAGAATAACCTGTGAACTTTTTGATACATGGACTTTTTTTTCAACATCAATTATTGATGATAAATTATTGTATATTTTAGGAGCAGACTCCGTCTTTGTTTGTAACGATTCTGCTTTTATTTTGGATAATTACTGTAAAAAATATACAATAAATACATTGGAGAGACGCTCAGAATTAAAAAAAAAAACTCTGAGTTAATTGGAAAACGCTTATATATCAAAATGTATTGTTGCTTTGAATTAGTATTTTTATAATTTTTTTCCTTCATATATTTATATGTATGTATGTACATATATATAACATAAATTCTCAAAGAAAGTAAATACAGTAATCGAATAAAGAACATAATAATACATCGATTAGCATAGCTCTCAATGAATGTAGTCCTGTAAATAAATTAATAAAGAAATTGTGTAATAAAATGCCTCTGGCGGGACTCGAACCTGCGACCACTCGCTGTCAAGGCAAGCGTCAAAACCAT